TGAAATTTAGCAATCACAAGCTCAGTCTTGGCCTCTGCAAGCAAGGGTATGAACATGGCATATTTAGAGAAACGGTCAACCACAACCATAACTTGACTATTTCCATTTCGGGACTTGGTGAGTTTCATGAAGTCTATGGACACAGACTCACCTAGCTCACTCGGAATAGGTAGTGGTCGGAGTAACCCCAAAGGTTTCTCATGAGACGGTTTGTTTCTCTGACATACTTGGCATGTATGAACATACGTTAGCACATCCTGTTTCAAACCCTTTCTTGAATCCAAAGTGTCCCTCTGTATCATGACATTCCCCAATCAATAGACTTTTAAGTTTTTCCTTGTGAGGAATGCACAATCTTTGTTCAGTTTGGTCCAACAAAAAGAGTAAGCCATCAGACAATCGATAGTGAGGAAGTTGGGATGGATCCTTGGCTAGGATATCCATGATTGGTTTCCAGACACGGTCAGTGGCATATCCAGCGCGAATCTGATCTTTCACATCATTCCCAATATCCAGGTAAGAGACAATAGCCCCAAAGAAATCACTCCTCCTCGATAGTGCGTCTGCTACAACATTAGACTTACCTTTAATAGTTTTGAGTTCGAAATCGAAGGTATCAATAAAAGCAGACCAGCGCACCAACTTGTCAGACAATTGCGGCTGTGTCTTGATCCACTTGAGGGTCGAGTGTTCCGAGTACACAGTAAAATGTCTGCCAAGGAGATAGTGTTTCCATGTCTCTAGGGTGCAGACTAATGCATACAACTCCCTTTCGTAGGTGGAGTTGGCGACCTTTTCACACGGCAGACGTTTAGACATAAACTCAACAGGGCGGTAGCCCTTGCCGTCATCTTGCTGTAAGACAGCGCCAACACCGTACTGACTCGCGTCAGTCGTAACAATGAAAGGAAGAGACGGGTCGACAATCTTGAGGACAAGATAGTGAGTCAGCACATGTTTCAGCTTTCGAAAAGACGAGTCACAATCCTTATCCCATAGCCAGACAGTACCTTTCTTAAGCAACCTTCTCATCGGTGCAGCGATAACAGAGAAGTTCCTAACGAACTTCCTATAGTAACTCGCCAAACCAAGAAAAGATCGAAGGTCTCTCATAGTCTTTGGCTGTGGCCAATCTCTGATTGCCGAGATCTTCTTTTCCTCGGGCCTCAATCCCTTCTCGTTCACTATGTGTCCTAAGTATAAGACTTCAAACTTAGCAAACTCGGATTTCTTTGGGTTGAGTTTGAAGTTACCCTCGCGTAACTTCCCGAGTACTAGACGTAAATGTTTCTGGTGGTCTTCTAGTGTTTTACTATACACTAGAATGTCATCCAGATAGACGATGACGAAGTCGTCGAGCCATTGCCTGAATAACTCGTTCATTGACCTTTGGAAGGTCGCAGGTGCGTTCGTTAGACTGAATGGCATCACGATGAACTCGTAATGACCATATCTCGTACGGAACGCGGTCTTATGCTGATCGGCGGGATCCACCTCGATCTGGTGGTACCCTGACTTAAGGTCGATCTTGCTAAAGACCTTACAACCCTGCAACTG